ATTTTTAATAGAACCTATTATTCTTAATAAAAATACATTATATACACGTTATATACAGCGAATTTTCAAGATCCATTGCACAGCTACTCATTTTCAATCATTTTAAGACAAGTCGTCAGCTGTTCACACGTTTTCTCTAATCGTTGTAGTACGTCTGGCGCGCAATTCAGAATTCTCATCACGTTGTCGTTCGTGGCACGTATTCTCGATCTACTCTCCGCGATTGTCTTCATTAAGATTTCGTTCTCTCTTTCCATCTCGTTCACCTGTTCCTCCAATTCCTTGGTCGCCTCTTTGATCATGTGCGCGTCCAACGATCTCAAATGCGAAGTTACATCTCCCGGTGGACGCCTGCAGTCAAACGATGATTCTCAAATAAGAGATTACACTGAGCTGCAATCACGAAACGTTTTTCTAACGAATCTATCACCTACCACGCATGTTCATTAGCGGACGTGCTCTCCTCGGACAATTTGGCTATTTTAGTGAAGCTTTCCTGCAAACTGCCTTCCTTCAATATATCCTCAAGATCATTGTTCATGCTGCTGTGTAGCTCCTTTATCATAGCCTTGTGCAGTTTTTGAGCGATGTTGGGATTCGATTTGAGAATTGTGAGTGTCTCGAGAAACTCATTCTCACTGAAATAAAAAATATAACAAAACGATTTATTAATCCTTTTATTAGTAATTCATGATTAATCTCTAATTAATTCTTTTATTGTCAATCCTAATCCTATTAATTTATTATTAACCCTCCGATTGCAATCTGAATCTTTTTTGTTCAGTTCTAATTTTTTTTATAATTTTAAACTCACAAAAAATATGAAAAAATGTAGGATTATTTTTCAACATCTATATTACATTATCAAATTATTTTTAATTCAAATGTTAAAATTTATTCGATAAAAATTCAGCAAAAATAAGACAAAATGACAATTTATTGAATATAAAAAGTGTAACTTAGCAATAAAGAAACTGGACTCTACTTTTCTCTTTATTTGAGAAAAATTGAGAGTGAAATTTTGCTACCAAAATGACCCAGACTGCAAATAGAAAGTGCGAGTGAATATTGCATCTCTGTATCAAATCAGTAGCTCGTATAAACGTATAATAATAGTTATCATATTTCGAAATAAACACGACCTTATCTAAGATTAACGACATCCGGAAATATAATACTGCACACTCTGCTGCGTGGCAATTCGAATTATTCGCTATATCTTGTTTCGCAGAAAAGGCGCCTTATCGACCTGGACGATGTACGCGTGGCTTACACTTGCGATATATGGTGTGAGAAAGACACGTGCTTTTACTCCGACGACTTTCCAACGCACGACCGGATGCGCGTTCCCCCGTATGATGCATAGTTAGTACAGTCAGTTACAGAAAGGTTTCAACACTTTTTATGGATTTCAGAACCTAGTCTTGTAATCATAGAACGGTTGAACGTAAAATTAGATCCATAAGATAAGAATCACCGAAGTAGAACAAGTCATTACGATATCAAAATGATGTCAAAATGATTCTAAAATGATCATTAAGTCATTTTTCAATCATTTCTGATTCATTTTAATGTTATTTTGATTTGTTATCTGCGTGATTTGTTGTTCTGCTTGGACATTCGGTAAGCAAACTGCATTCCAAAACTCATCGAAAGAAAAGTGTTGCAACCTTTCTGTAATCGGCTGTACACGACGACTATCGCTGGGGATCGAATCTTTTTTTCTTTATCCTATCGCCAAAACAAAGAAAAAGCGGCATCTTCAATTACAGGGGCTGTAATTCTGAACAGTTCTAATCAACTTTTTTTTGCCGTGTTATAATAAGCATACAATAGTACGATCCAATCTCCTTACTCAGCTTCTGACATTTTTAAAATACGCCAGAAGATATTACGTTTATTTCGAAACTCGCGTAACATTCCATATACCATGCTATTTACATAAAACGTCACGTTATTAGACTTACCCAGGATTTTCATATAATATAAGAGAGCAGCTACGTTGTTTCTTACGTACTCAATCAGGCCGGGACTGGTGCAATTTGAAATCAATGCTACATATTTGCAATAGTCCAGACCTAATTAAACACGCTTCTCTTTCCGATAATCTAGGAGCACTGTTAAATCCATAATGTGTGTGTAAATTATATTCAATTTAAGTTATTTAATCATTTCTGTAGGTCTCGTCACTATTCCTATTCCATATATCTTAATTTAACTAAAATAATTTAATTCAAAAAATTTATTAAGGAGATTCTCGCATTTGATGAAATATAAATAAGTCTATAATATACATGCAATAGAAAAATTAATCAATATGTAAAAAAAATTTCATTGACTTTTACCATACTATTTTGAAGATGTTTAATTCTAAATTTATAGAATTTTACAAGTTGAAGATATAACTTTATTCTCTTTTAAATTGAGATACTTGATATTGTTAATAATCTTTTTATTCCATTATTTTAATCGTTTTACATATTATTATAAATAAACTGTTCATTAACTAGAAAATAGCAAGAACCTCCTTAAATTTGATTACAATTTAATTTATTATATAATATTAAGTGAAAATGTAATTTATTATTTATTAACAAGTGCACACGTTAATATGGATGTTTATCTGGAAATTAAACAATTCCACCAGAAATGGAATGATTTACATTTTGACATTTTTAACACATATGAAATTAAAAATACTAAAATATTTTATAATTCAAGATTGAGTTACTATTATTCCTTAGACATCTAACGGTAAGAATCCATTCGTCCAAACTTACTTACTGACGCATTCACATTGACCTTTAAATCACGCACACAGAATCGAATCAACAACCGACATATGAGGTTAAATTTCATAGATATCACAAAGTAAAATTAATAATTAATCACTTTTAGCGCTCGTATAACTTACACACAATTAAATATAGAAACCACCCAGGTCACAAATTAAAACAAGCTATATTACGAGTTTATTCAAATCTATAAATTTCATGTTGAAACTTATAGATTTGAATAAAATATTACATTGTACATCTAATAGCTCGTTTTAATTTATGACCTGGGAAATTTTTATATTAAATTTCGTAAACAAGAAATCTTTCTCAACAATTCTGTAGCATTGAAACTTTTAGAAATAACGACGATTGTACATGTATATCGAAGACGAATGTACGACCTGCGGCATTTGAGTGATGAAAGAATCAACTGGCTCTGCTACGGGAGAGAGTATGGAGCACGTACTCGTGCGTGCACGATTCCCGCGACACGCAGCACACGAATGACCACCGCCCCCGCGCCGGTCACCATGGAGGCCTTTGTTTCCCCGGACGCTTCGTGGAATTCCTTGAAGGTCAACTGATGGAACCGTGCGAAGAAGGCCTTCCTGGAAGCGACGCCGAAAGGGATCGCCCTTTCAACAAAAATCGAGAACTTCGACGATGATTGCGACTCGAATTCGAACATATGAAACGTGAACGGCTATGGCGAGTGGTCGAGAATTAACATGCGAATCGCGGAGGCCAATGACATCAAGTAACACCGAGTGGCGTTTAGGTCATTGACGATGCCGATCCCTTCCACCAGTACACATCATCTTGATCTTTCCATCTTGACTCTCTCTCTCTCTCTCTCTCTCTCTCTCTCTCTCTCTCTCTCTCTCTCTCTCTCTCTCT